TTAATTGGAAATGTTCATCGTATCCAACAATTTGGGGTAGTACCACAATTTTAGGGGATAACCCCTGACACCGTTTTTTCCGTGAATGGATGTCCATGTTGCATAAAGTTAAAATTGAAGGCACTCTCCATCGTTGACTTTCCTTGCGACGCACAATGAAACTAGAGTCCATTTATGCTGTGAGTGGGGTCATGAGGAATCTATTCTTGATTGGCTCCTGTATTTTAGGCCTCCCCAGCGTGCTGATTGTTGAAATAGACAAAGCGATCGACAAAGACGACAAAGGGAATGGAGTGATCCTTTTGGTTCAGCGGGCTGATTATTGAAATTGATAGACAAAGCAATAGACAAAGAAGGCAAAAAGGATATGGAGAGATCCTATCAGTGGAAGCGGGTGGTCGCAATGGACAAAGGACGTAGGTAATTGCCTAACTACCGGCAACCCACGAGAGACCCGATAGTTAGTCCTTCATTTTACCCCCTTAGTCTATGAGAAGCACCCATTTCAACCAATTGGATCCCTCTTTACTCCTTTTGTCTTCTTTGTCTATAGCTTTGTCTATAAATTTCAATAATCGGCCCGCAAACGGGTGGTTCTTATACAGGGTGGCCCAGACCTACCGTACCAAGCCTTTTTTCCGGTTAATTTGGGTCGCACGAAGTCCAGGATCGCGGGGATGAACAGGGAATCGACCCCAAGGAATCCAAATTTCATGGTCCCAGAGCCCCCCTGGCGCCCCTTGGGGGGTAAAGGGGGGGGCCCGTACTTCAAAAGTTAGGGTTTATGTCAAAATTTTGAAAATATTTCATCGGAATCGTACGGAAAATTTTAACTTAAATCGACACCAAGAAATCCAAATCGGCCCACTCGTGTCCAAAATACCGACCCCTAAAGGTGGGGGACAGAGCCCCCTTTCAAAAAAATTCAAGTTCGTTAAATTGACGTGGAGACTCGGAAAAAATGTGTACTCATGGGTAATCGACCCCAAGGAATCCGAATTTGAGGGTCCTGTTGTCCTCAGAGACTTTTCTGATGGGGCACAGGGGGACTATAAACTTTTAAATTTTACCGGTGTGGAGGTTACCCCTGTGCCCCATCAGAAAAATCTATGAGGACAACGGGACCCTCAAGTTCGGATTCCTTGGGGTCAATTACCCATGAATACACATTTTTTCCGAGTCTACACGTCACTTTAACGAACTTGAAGTTTTTTGAAAGGGGGCTCTGTCCCCCACCTTTAGGGGTCGGTATTTTGGACACGAGTGCACAGTGGGCCAGATCGTGTCCGTAGCGGCGCTTAATTGATAACTCCCGCTAGATCAAGCATATCGTTCAAAACATGATGATTCCTAGGGTAATTTGATTCCCTCTTTCCAAATTTTGTGTCAAAAAAACCGACAAAAATGTCGAAATGTAGATTTTGGACGTCGAAAGCTGAAGAAATTGCTCGATAAAAAAGAGGATCTTGTGCTCTTATAAGATGGGGGAAAAACACAATCATCGAACCGGAAAATGCAATCTTATCATCTAACCTTGTAATTCTATTGGAAGGAGAATATTTTCGGTTTTGCAGATCCGAAAAATATTGATTTTTAGCTGCAGGGCATGAGATCAAAGTTGCCCGAAAAATAAGCCTTAAAAAATGAATTTTTCAGAATATTGTAGACTGGGAAAGTGTCATTGCGGTTCGTTGCGCGGTTCTCTCTGGTATTTTTAGAAAGCACATATCCTAGAGATACCATATACCAAAGCACAATCGGTACAAACCGGTACAACCATATTTGTCGGATGCTTATTTGAGGCGACCTCCAATTTCCGCGAAAATCAGATGTAGAGGTTTTAAGGAACTACGTTACACAGTAAAGCGTCCAATGAAATATTTCAACACAAATTCTTGTTTTAAGGGTTTTTAAGGTTTCTAATAGCATTTCTCGCTCTTTCGATACTTTAGGGTGGAAGGAGGGGGAGGGGGAGGCCGCCCAAAATCAGACAGTCAAAAATTTTTTATGGTTAACAATTTTCTTGAGCTCAGTAAATAATGATAATTCGTTTACATCCGTTCACGCATTCAGCCCAAATAGGACTGGTTTTAAACCAATTTGGCAATGAATAGGAAAATTCTACAGTCACATGCAGGCACCTAAGTTTAGAGTGAGTTGACCGTCGCTCACACCAATATAACTGATGAAATTTCAATTTCATTGTTAGACTGAAAGTAATGTAATATCGTATGATTGAAGTAACTCAGATAACTAAATATTGACTTCTTTAAATACAACTATGCCTATTTTAGTGTTACACCCCTCCTAAAAGCTATTGTCATCGTGTAAATAATGTGTTATTTTAGGTAAGTAACGGTATCCTGAGCTGTGTACGAGTCGGTTCTTGCTATTGCGTTATTTTCATACCAATATTAATGTTTGATCGAATTAAGAGAATTCGATATAGAATCCTCCTCTCCCTTGAAGATATCATCCTCAAGCACGCAAGATTGCATAAAGTACAGTTCAACAGAGAAGTTGAAATTTCAGCAGTTATATTGGTGTCAGCGACGGTCAACTCACTCTAAACTTAGGTGCCTGCATGTGACTGTAGAATTTTCCTATTCATTGCCAAATTGGTTTAAAACCAGTCCTATTTGGGCTGAATGCGTGAACGGATGTAAACGAATTATCATTATTTACTGAGCTCAAGAAAATTGTTAACCATAAAAAATTTTTGACTGTCTGATTTTGGGCGGCCTCCCCCTCCCCCTCCTTCCACCCTAAAGTATCGAAAGAGCGAGAAATGCTATTAGAAACCTTAAAAACCCTTAAAACAAGAATTTGTGTTGAAATATTTCATTGGACGCTTTACTGTGTAACGTAGTTCCTTAAAACCTCTACATCTGATTTTCGCGGAAATTGGAGGTCGCCTCAAATAAGCATCCGACAAATATGGTTGTACCGGTTTGTACCGATTGTGCTTTGGTATATGGTATCTCTAGGATATGTGCTTTCTAAAAATACCAGAGAGAACCGCGCAACGAACCGCAATGACACTTTCCCAGTCTACAATATTCTGAAAAATTCATTTTTTAAGGCTTATTTTTCGGGCAACTTTGATCTCATGCCCTGCAGCTAAAAATCTATATTTTTCGGATCTGCAAAAGCGAAAATACTCGTCATGCAATGGAGTTTACCAGTCAGATGCATATAATGGTTTGAGGTTCACGAGTGCTCTGTGAAATAAGCGAGTATACAACGCGCGCCTCAGGTTGCAGAAATCTGGGTTCATCACATTCCACATGCTGCATATCTTTCTACGTGGAAACCGCAGATATAATGAATATTTTAGATATTCCCATGTAATTTCCTTATCAGTAGGTATCTGAGCATCGATTAAGATAGCTCTGATGTGGAAAAAAAATGTCGAAAAATTGCATTTCGCGCCGCTACGGACACGATCTGGCCCACAGTGGAGTGGGCCGATTTTGGATTTCTTGGTGTCGATTTAAGTTAAAATTTTCCGTACGATTCCGATGAAATATTTTCAAAATTTTGACATAAACCCTAACTTTTAAGTACGGACCCCCCTTTTACCCCCCAAAGGACGCCAGGGGGGCTCTGGGTCCATAAAATTCGGATTCCTTGGCGTTGATTCCCTATTCATCCCCGCAATCCTGGACTTCGTGCGACCCAAATTAACCGAAAAAAAGGCCTGGTACGGTAGGTCTGGGCCACCCTGTAGACAAGGGGTAAATGATGGACTGACTACAGGGATCCTCGTAAGTTTCCAAGTCTATCACCTACATCCTTTATCCATTGCAACATTGCCGCCTCCACCAATAGGATTGCTCCATTTTTCCTTCGCTTCTTTTGTCCATAGCTTTGTTTATCAAGTTCAACAATCAGCCTAGTGTCATAAATTGTGAAAAAGATTACACTTTTACTAGTTGCAAGGATTATGAAAATGATTGGTCCGGGGAAGTAGGGGTAGGTATGGCAGGGATTCAACAGAATGAGAGGAGGATTGGAGGAAAGGAGTGCAGGAATGAGTTGATAAAAGATTTCGAAAAACGTTCAATCTTCCAATTTTTCATATAATTTTCTTCACAATTTCACCTAAAGTTCCTGAAATTTGCAAGGAAAAATATTCATAACTTGCCTCAAAAATAAACATTTTATCCATGGAAATTTGGCAACTCTCGAATGTTCATACGGCGTTTTTCCTTAGCACGGCAGGATGGTAAACGCTTTAAGTCAATTTACAAACGTTAGAGCGCCTTCAATTTCGTCTGATACTTTGTAATACTTCCGAGATTGAATAGTTGCTTACGGCGCCTTCTAAGTGTCACTCCGACATGATTACTGAAGATCAGGATTGTCGCTGATGTTGCACTCTAGCGCGTCTGCAAAGACACATTTTCTCATCAGCGACCATGAGGGAAAAAACACTCATATCTTAATATGCGACGTTACAAGTTTTCCACTTCCGATTTATGTGGGTAGGTAATCAAAATGGGCAGCACTTTCAAATCTGCCGTGATTTTTCCGAGATACGATGAGAAACACTATTTTGATGTTTCATCCAAGTCTGTTTGTATACTTTCCTTAAAAATGGAAAAAGAAGGATAAACAAGAGGAAAAACAGCTGTGACTCCTCCAATAATCACTGGAATAAAAAAAATAAAGCTTAAAATGATCCTGAGAATATGTGTAATTTATTGGGATAAAAAATAGAAAATCGAATTTTTGGAAAAAAAAAAAAAAAAAAAAAAAAAATTAAACCGACTGCCAGTAACGTAGGTTTTAACGGAGGAAATCCGGTGTTGTCAAATTGCTGGATCCGCTTCTGATATCCTTCCGCAAAAGTTCGCTTGTTGAATCCGAGGAGGGAAAGTCTCTACGTTGGCCGGGGAGTCCCTTTTCGTCCCTGCTCCGGATCCCCTGTGAGGCGGGTACGGGGTCGAGGGATGCACGAATCTTTTGACATGAGTAGTAGAGCTCCCGGTTGACTTCATCCCGCGCTGGATTCCAGCTTCAGCTCGCCGTTTCAGTCCGACGCTGAAACTCCGCGAGACCGATCGCGCTGTCCCTTTCAGCCCCTCTCGTGTCGTCGGCGTGCTCCCGGTCCCTGGGCCTGTCCCGGCAACGTGCTCCCTCCATCCGATCCCTGTAGGCGAACTATCCGTGACGTAGTGACGCAATACAGTTTAAAGTTCGCAATAAGTTTGGTTCTTTTTAGATGCATGGATTTTCTCGGTTCACGCTCATAAAACCGCGTTCGGCTCTCTTCGGATCCCGGGATTTTGTGGATTCGCACCGATAAAACCCGTGCTTTTCTTTTTGGATTCCCGGATTTTCGGAGTCCGCACCGATAAAACCCGTGTATTTTTCTTTTTGGATTCCGGGATTTTCGGGGTCCACACTAATGAGACTGTGTGTAGCTCTTTTTCGATTTCTGGATTATCGCGGTGATACGCACTGATAAAACCGAGTGAATTTCGTTTGAGACGTTCGGATTTTTCGATTTCGCTCGAACGAAGCCGAGGTGTTTCTTTTCAGATGCAGGAATTGTCTGGATTCGCGCTGGAAAAATTGCGTGTATTTCTTTTTGGTGCGAGGATTTTGTCAATTTACACGAGTTGAGCCGCGTGTATTTCTGTTTTCTCGGTGCGCGCTGATGAAGTCGCGTGTATTTCTTTATGTACGTCGATTTTCTTGATCCGCGGGTGTAAAGTCACGTGGGGTTTTTCAGTTCTAAATGCGTGTATTTCTTTTTGGAAGATTATCGGATCCTTTCGATTTTCACTGAGAGAGCCGCGTGTTTTTCTCTCTTTGGGTACTCAAATTTTCTCTCCTTGCACTAATTTGTTTCGAATTGAGTTCGCTTTGAGTGTTAATAAAATAAACTCAGCCGAGTGATTTTTGTTGGTTTCAGGTGTTATCGTGTTGGATTACCAAAGAAAAACAATTGTGGAAACTGGATTCTCGGTGAGTTAGCAAATCATGATCATGTTTACATAATAACCAGTCTGCATAGTAGAGATTTAATTATTGGAGGGAGTGATACATTACGAAAATATCGGTTAGTCCAGAGTAATTTAACGACAGTGGCGTGGCGTAAATTGCGATATATCGATTTTTATGCCATTTAAACCTATGGAAAAGGATCGATAAACAGGGTGTTCTCAGCGAACACCTTAATAATCGATTCCTTACCATAGGTTTAGACGGCATAACATCTATACATCGCAATTCACGCCATACCACTGCTTAAAGACTCGATTTTTCAACTTAAATAAAACTTCGAATCTACAAACAGGCGACAAATGATGGCCATAGAAAGAGAGAAATGCCTTACGTCGTGCTGTTTGTCAGAGAAATGTGTAGTCTTCCATCGGGACGTCGAAATTTTGATCAAAAATGACGGGAAGGGTTGAATATTCGACGAATTGAAATATATGTGTACGTCACGATTAACGTTTTCAGCTAATGAGGGAATATTCGACGAATTGAAATATATGTGTACGTCACGATTAACGTTTTCAGCTAATGAGGATGTGTAAGAATTGAGTGTCGGATATTTTAGGTTGCACAATGCATTTTTATAGGTATGAAGAACGGAGCGGGTGGCATTGATCTCGGTTTTCTCTTAGAGAATATTCTTAAGAGGGGAAATAAAAAGCACACACAATTGTTGCAATAACAATAATTTGCGATGGCAGGTGCTTTCCGTAGACCATTTAAGAGAATTCAGAACTGTTAGTTCAATGCGTGCACCGTTAAACGGGAAAAATCTCTCGATGATCTGGTACTGCAGTAGAAACTGACGAAGACAAATCTTGTAAAACACCAAAAAAACAGTTCGACCCTATTTTCGTTGGAGAATAAATTTTCTCGGCGAGATTCATGATAGGAAGGAACAGCAACTTGAAGATTGGATGCAAAAGTTATAAGTTATTTTATCTTGCCTCACTCACATACACCTTTGATAAGGCGACCAATAAAGGTGCACTGCAAAAAATCGGCTCAGCAACAATGCTAGCATCCGTGTCGGCAAAGTTGTATTGGTTGAGATTGAAGGAACTTGTAGTTCTCCCGGATCTCCATCACCGATTCATTTGCTGATGTGGAAGAGACTCCAAGACTTTACCATAGCATCGGATTTCCTTAACTTATTAAATGAAACTATCATTCGTAGCTTCTTGTCCAAATTTTAGTCATTCTTTTCTAATCCGAAGTCGTTAACATATTTGATGCTCGAACAGCGTCAAAAAAAAGAAATAAAAAAAATTAGAATTTGGAAAATGTCACCGGTATCATATGACGGAGCTTATTTTTGTAGCAAAGCATTGATGCGTTCTTAGCGAAATGTTGCGTAGAAATCAAGTCACGGGATGAAAATAAAATGATTCAACTCCCTGGCAAGATAATGTTAATTTTAATTAAACTTGGTTTCACAAAATTAGAATATCCCGTTCGCGAAAGAAACCAAAAGTTAGGTAAATCTGATTGATTGTTCAGGAAGAATTTACACGCGCTTAAATTACCTTCGTCGGTTTTTAAAAAAATAATTACGAACAAATTAAAAAGTAGAATAAAGGAATTTGACCACTCGGAATATTCAGATGAAAAAGTCATCGTATAAAAGTTAGCGCCCAGTAATTATCTCCAGCCTATCGAAATGAAAAATCCTGTTAGGTACTATCACTTCTAGTAGATTGCAAGTAATAGTATTAATGAGTGCAATTTTTTGTGAAGCAAAAAAATAATTTGGTTGGAAAGTGTCTAAAATTTAAAGCGTACCTCGAATGCGGAAATTGCTGGAGTGCTTTTTTTTTATTGAGCTTCATCTGTAATTTTAATTGGTAGAACGGGAAGTATCCTGAAGAGTGTTCAATGCCGCGTCAATTTTATGCTGTAATTGAAATTATAAAGCATACGATGGAACTAAAGCCAGTTGTTAAAATTTAATGAAGTTGCCAGATAACCTCCGGGCGTATGGATTCTATTCCTCATCGTGCATTTAAAATGTTGAATTTTATGCACAACGTGGCGCTGAGCGATGCACTCTCATCTTCGTGTGTATTCAGTTCATACGCGTACGATAGAAGGTTGCCAACTGGTCTGTGCATTTCTGAGTGCTTTGTGCTTTTGCTCCTCTGAAGAATGACTGAACCATTTTTTTATGGTAAAAATACATGTATCACGACCACAACGCACAGCTTCCTAAAAAAATCGAAGGAGGACAGAGAGAACTTCCCAGACTAACCCAAAAGCAAAGACCTAAAGTGATTCTACGGTTGCCATTTTTTGTGTCAGAGCGATGTGCGATATATCGCACCAATCCGTTCCTTAATTTCAGCTTCTTGCCATTTCTTTTCTAAATTTTGAGATCGCACTTCTGTTGTCATTGGACTAAAAAATTCATGTACCAAATTTGACAAAAAAAAAAATTCAACGTATTAAAAGCAGGGTTTTTTTCAGAGGAAAAATATCGCATTCGATTGCAGTTTCGATATCAGTATCAAATGCGATATTTTTCCTCTAAAAAAACCCTGCCTTCATTACATTGAATTTCATTGTCAAATACAGTACATGAATTCTTTATTCTCATGACAACAGAAGTGCGATCTCAAAATTCGAAAAAAATGACAAGTAGCTGAAATTATGGAACGAATTAACGCGATATATCGTGCATCGCTCTGACGCACAAAATGGCAATCGTCGAATCACCTCAAGTGCCTAATCGCTTACATTGAAATAAAAAAAGTCAAACTTTCCACTTCCGGAAAAACACTCATCTCCAATGTATGTCAAACAGGATTTTAAAAATAAATTTTTCAAACTCGGCGAATCACTGGGAACAGGTTTTTACACTTCCTGCTTTTTTTCAACCTTTCTTTTAGCCATAACTTTTACCAAAAGCTCGTACCTGTTAGAGTATCACATGCCAGGAGGGGGAAAAAAGACTCTTTTCGTACAGGCACTTTCTTGACAATATGGATATTGCTAATAATGTCTGATCGCAACTACTCGTACTCAGAAGATGTCTATAATGCATACTCAAATTATTGAAGGCTTCGGTTGCGCATTTGCTCAAATCGACACAAGTCCTTTGCCGTTTAAAGTCGTTTCGGTGTCCTAGCTTCCTTGAAAGCCGCCCAAGTTTAGGAACAACGCACGTACCATTAGTCACCCTATGTATTTGAGTACATTAACACTTAAGTACATAGGGTACTTAAGTGTTTTTACGGATAAGCCAGAAATTGTAGTTCCTAATTATGTAGTCCACCTAACGACCGCAGACCCCTGCTTGAACTGTATAATACTTGGACCGCGTTTAACAGAAAGGAACTAAGCCATATCAGCTATTGCCAAATTTAAGTGGACACTTTAATTTTTTACGGGGAAACGTTTGTGCGGATTTTTTTGAAAATTTTAAAGAATTTGCTTCGCACTATGGAGATAATTCTCTGAAATTTGCATGAAAATATGTACAATCGTTTTCATGTAAAAAATTAAATTGCCCAGTTAAATTTGGCGTTTCTTGGACTACCGCCCTCTTTTTGTGCCGTAGTGCCTTGATATATTTTGCGAGGAAAGCTTCGTATCCATATAAAGGATGCCTGACATTCTTAATATGTTGGATTGCCTTCAACTCTGTATGATACTGTGCAACACCTCTGTTGTGAAATAGTTGCTTGAGGCACCGTGGCACGCCGCAGCGCGGCGGGCGGGCGGTCAGCTCAGGACGCGCTTTGGCGCCTACAAACCTAAGGGGATACTTCCAGCATTGCGCAATGCGTGAAGTATCCCCTTAGGTTTGTAGGCGCTAGTGCGCGTTTCCGCTGGCAGCACACCGAACCGCTCCGCTCTGTGTTACGCTCTAATATTTAAAATTGCGGAGTCAGCGTTTTTCAACTGATTTTGAAATGTTTACACACTCTGCATGGATCATTCTCATTTAAATTACAATCGAAATTATAATGTGTGTTATGTAAAAATTAAGGTGGTTCCGTGTCAAATTTGAACCGCGTTTAACAGAAAGGAACCAAGCCACATAAGCTGTCGCCACTTTTAATTGGGCAATTTAATTTTTTACGGGGAAACGTTTATGCGGATTTTTTTGAAAATTTTAAAGACTTTGCTTCGCACTGTGAAGATAATCCTTTGAAATTTCCATGAAAATCTGCACAACCGTTTTCATGTAAAAAATTAAATTTGGCAAAAATTTGTCAATAGCTGATGTGGCTTGGTTCCTTTCTGTTTCACGCGGTCCAATCACATGCCCCACATTTTGTAACACCACCGTTTGCAATCCGAGTGGCCCAATCGTGGGGTGCCTTCTCAGCCAGAGCCAGAATGCGTGTCAACAAGTCAATAATATAAATGGTTGTAATTTCTTATGTGACACTGAGTGCAGCTTTCTAAATCGGCCGACGTGACCGTAGACGATATGGATCGCATTTCGCAAAAAGGAACCATGCAGCGCGATTGCAGTGTTGTAAAAGTATTGATTTTTCATAGTCATCTAAAAAATCTCCTAGAATAGTAAATAGTCGTTGCTTCCCACCAAACGAATTTTTAATTTTAAAGGAAAACCAGTGCGTAAATTTGGATATTGCATTTATTCTAAGTACTTTTGAAAGTAAAGAAGGAGTTGCACGATTTTAAGAACAATGTAATCGCGCTGGTTCCTTTTTGCTAAATGCGATCCATGTATCGTTGCCCTTCTGGCGTAAGGGCGTATCTCAATTTCCTTATGAGTCCTGGGAAGCGTAGAGTTATATGGAGAACAGGGCTCACGTGGCACTTGAATACGCCCTAACGTCAGAGGAGCGACGAAATGTATAGATGAGAAATCGTCTCCGCTTCGGCGTATGCGCTAAGATTTTCAATGAAAGTGAGATTTTCCTAGTTTTCGGCTCTTGCCGCCAAAAACCAGCACATGCACAATGGACCAGTAGACAAGGCACGAATTTCAGAAT